CTTTCACAGAGAGCACATTGGCCAAGCAATGGCCGTGACCCATTCACATGGCTGACACTGACAAAGGATCTACAATCTGAGGTACAGGATCTCAGGATAAGTCCTGAGATTTCACTGACTTTACAATCAGACCCAAAAGCTACAACTCTTATTGCATAGGTCTTGCTTTATCTTGGTCTTAACCATCCAGCAGAAAAGTATAAAAACAAAGTATAAGAAGTAAAGCCATTGTGTTGTGTTGAGCTGTAGGGGACTCGGGTCAACAATTTCTGACATTGCCAGCGAAGCGGAAGCCCCAATACTATTATGGACTACTGGACTCTTTTAGAATATTTTGCTGAGTTAACACACCTCTAATATTCCAACGACAGAACTAAACAAAAAAGGGGATACAGATGAAGGTTCATTTTGTATCTGTGTATTCAAAATGGTTAGGATAGATATATAATTACATTCTCTTAATAAATAGAGGGATCTGTTCTAATAGTGTTTGTAAATAGGGTATCATGTCCCCATCTTGTACAGCAAATAACCACTACGAAGAATATATGCAATGTGTTAATTATTGAAACTGTCCTACCAATTTGGTCTGAAACTGTCTCACTGCTATTTGTTTCTCAACAAAATTATGGAAAAAATAAATAAATAAATAAATAAGCCTAAGTTAATATAAAGATTCACCATTTCCCTACTGCTGGGTACCTAGGCCAGGACTTTACTGGCAGAATTAGCTGGGCAATAACCATTATTGTATATCAGATCTTCTGTCTTGAGGACAGAAATTTGAAAGAACCTCATTCACTGTCAACCAGGTACCTCAGGCTGGAGCTGTGTCATCAGGTGCCTGTGAATGGGGCATGGTGCCACCCACAAGATCAGCTGACAGTCTGAAGAATGTGGCACAAGTGACTCCTCACAACAAGTGATTACACTCTGGGTCCTGAGGCAGACTGTTATTTCTAGTTTTCCACAAAGAGCTTGGCTTGCATTTGAGGGTGGGTGTCTGCAGGCTTTAGGTTTAGTCTCAGGACAAGATGCTCAGGACTCTGCTCACCCAGCCCACAAGCAGCAGGCCCAGAGACCACCCAAAGGCAGTCACCGTCAGGCCTACTTGACGAGTGGCAAGAATCTGGCCATCTCACAGATCCCTCTGCCCGGAGCCCTCTTTCTTCTCTTCATGTCAGTACCCCCATTCTTTGGCCCCTGTGCTACCTCATTTTCCTCTGGAGTAGTTACTCAAGGCTGACATCATACTGTTAGGGAAGTGATCATTACTTCTGTCTCCTGCCGCTGTAAGATCAGTCGGCCACACAGAGGCTAGGACTATGGAATATGTGTTGACACACCTGGCTTAAACCCACTCTTGCTTGATTGTCTCACTAGGGTCCTTGGTGAGAATGCACTAAGCATTCATTACTGTCATTAGTTTGGATAAAAACTGACACATTTCTATACATATATGAGCAATGTATAAAGGAGACAAGCAACTACCCATTTGTTGGCTCATTAGGAAAGAAAACAGAGAGATAAGGAGGCAGAGAACAGAACTAGGAAGAATTTCTAACAGAGCAGGGGATAAATTTCTAGATTCACAGCATGCCTGGAGCAACCTCAGAGATGGCCTAATTATTAAGATCAGCTAATCTAAGCCTCTGCCTCAACAAACAGAACCTACAGAGCCTGAAGAAACAGCTGGTCACAGAAGGTACAATTTCTACACTGCAGCTGAAACCTGTCCTGACTGTACTGCCAGGTCCTCTCACCACCACGTGCAACTCTTGTAACACCACAAATTATTTTTAAAATTTAGGGGCCGGGGAGATAGCTCAGTAGGATAAGCGCTTGACTGGCAAACGCAAGGATCTGAGTTCAATCCCCGGTTCCACCCAAAATAAAAATAAAATAAAATTTAACAGATATTTTTTTTGGGCTGCTCAGGATGCCTTCAGGGCAGGTCTGGTTTTGGCTTGAGGATGAGGGGATCAGATCATAGCATCTTGAGCCTGTTTGTTTCAGCAGGCACTTAAACAAACCTGAGCTAATGGGCAGGCCCTCAGATACTTTTTTGTATCAGGATTGAACCCTGTGCTTTACCCACTGAGCTATAGCCCCAACCTTTTAAATGTTTTTAGACAGGATCTTCCTGCCCAATTGAACTTGCAATATTCCTGCTTCAGCCTCCCAAGCACCTGGGATTAAGTGTGTGCCACATAAGTATGTTAGCACTTGGCTAACACATTTTTATCAAGAACCAACCCTGTGCCAATGTTCTTCTACATGCCAAGGATACACAGAACAACTCTACTGCTAGGCACTGCAGGGCCTGCTAAATCCTGTCGGGGGTACATCACAACCTTCCTGAGCCTCAGTTTTCTTGTTGGTAAAAGTGGCTGCTGCCCAGAGTATTTATCATCAAGACTTAGCTTCCTAAACAGGAGTATTCGAGGGGGTCTTTATGGTTCAGTGACACTGGGATCAGTAGAAGGTATTCTAGGCAGGACTAAGAACAAGAGCTGTGTCAAGGTGATGGGATAAAGTAAGTCTTGGGAATATAGACGAAGCCTAGGAAGACCTAGAACTGAGGCTGGAGAAGGCAGGCTGGTTCCAGGAGCTGCTCATACAACACACCTGCAGGTCACTCACAACAACAGGTTGTATTCACAGCCCACGGGACACACCAGTCTATCAGCAACTGTCCTGCTCCAGGCATCTCGAAGCCTGGACAAAGACCAAAACATGGGCTAGTTAGAATACCAGGTCTGCCTCTCCCTCTCTGTTGTCCTCGATACAGTGGATGGCTCACCTCTTTCTAGGCTGTTTCATCATTACAAAATGTGGCTAAGAACTGCTCTACCCTCACAGAGCTATATTAAAGTTTATTTGTTCCTTTATTTATTTATTTTTGGTGGTACCAGGGATCAAACTCAGGACCTTGTGCTTCACAGGCATGCACTTATTGCACTGAACTATCTCTCTGGCCCAGCAATGTTAAAGTTTAAATAAATAAATTACTGATCAATCTCTCAGTGGCAGAGTGGTTGTCTAATGTACTTGAGTCCTTGGGTCAATATCTAGAAGCAAAAACCAAAAAAGAACAACAACAAAAAGACTGTATCAAATATTTTAATGGTGCTGGGAAAAGGGTATTATTATTTTCAGTCCCATCAGCCATTAAAAACATTACTATACTATTAGTGTGACTATGAGTGTAATGATTATGGCATCTCCTGTGCTTGCAAATTTGAGCTTTTCTCATTAGGATTACTTCCTTGGAACAAACTCTTCAGGGTGGAATTACCAAATCACAAGGGCTGGTGGCACCACTGACTGTGGTTTGTTCTTTCAGTGACCTGAATGCATCACCTGCTCTGGATGGACATTCGGTTTCCAGGTAACTCAGCAAGTTCCTCCATCAGCCCTGCCTGTCCACTCCCAGCCCCACACCAGTTACTTTCATACATGTCAGGAGAGTAATTTTTCAATTGGTTAAACTCTCCTCTTTAACTGAAACCAACCCAAAAACACAAGTTGACAGATCTGCTCCAACTGATTTGGAGGACAGGGATCCAGGCCTCCCCTGTTTCTACGGGCAGCACAAGAGCTCTAGGCTAAGGAACACAGTACTGAAAACATCATCCTACATGGGCTCCCCAAGGAGATACTACCAGATGCATGTGTCTGTGGTATCACTACAGCCTCTTTTCATTAGGGTCTGCCCCCCAAATTCATCAAACAATCTCCTGGAGTGCCTGGTGAATGCAGTCTCAGGTCTCACCTCAACTCTAATCAATCAGATTGTCTGTGGAGAAGCCTGAAGTTTATAGCTGTTTTAACATGAACTCTGGTGCTTAAATCCATGGACAAATTTAGGAAACACTGTAGCCAAGAGGCTTGTTCCTCCAACCCAACAGGGAACCTGACCTGTAACCTGATTTATGTAAGCAAATGTCTCAGAACTCAGAACTGAGAGACACTCATCTTAAATGCTTACACTGTTCATTCTCAGTTACTCTTTGCCACCTATAATGCATTTGCAATAAATATGCACAATTATAGGCTTAAGGGACTTGCTAAAGGTCAGGCAGCAAAAGGAAGAGAAGCAGGGTTATGAACTCAGGTGGGCTGGATTCCGGAGTCCTTGTCCTTACTGCTGTGTGGCGTGGACACTGGCACTGGGACCAAAGACCAGCAGTCTAGTTTTTACAGCATAGTGTGGGAGACAGTGTACGCATATGCTCAAAAAGACCGTAACTTAAGTCTTAGCTGTGTAAGACTTAGCTGTGTAAGACTGTGCAGACTTCTCTACAACAACTAGAGACAAGAGGGCTGCTTTAAGAGTGAAACAGTATGGTTATCAGGTACCAGCCCTCGGCCTGGCATGGGGCAGGTCTGTGATAAATGTCAGTTCCCTCTTTACCGCATCTAGTGCAGTTTAGGAAAACTAGTATTTGTGTCCTTCTTATTCAAATAACCTCCCCACTCTGGAAGAGACAGCTATCCGGGGAACTACCCACTCGGGCCCCCTTCCTGTCCCTCCCTTGGACAGGAGCTTTCTTTCTCTCAATAAATATATTCTGCTCATAAAAAAAACAAAACAAACAAACAAAAAACCAAATAACCTTCCCACAAGAAAGGAAAAATCTATAGGCCAAAGAAGTCACGCAGAGAATCATACAGCAAAAACTCAGAATCAGTCACAAATGGAATATAAATACCTAAAAAGTACAAATAATATAAAGGTGTTGGGAGCTGCAGGAACTAGGAAATTGATCAAGTATGTGTAGATGGGACTGGGCCTCAGTGCCTACAGCAAACAAGCTACCTCACTCCTGAGACAAACATCCTGTTTGGTTAAGGTCAGAATATTAGTTGTTAGGCAACCTTGTGTCATGTATTACAAACTCTGCAAAAGTATAAATAAAGGATCGTTTTGTTGTGTGTGGAGTTTTGCCCATCAGGCAGACTGGTGACCACCTGGCCCAGCTTTTGTTTTCTTGTCTTTCTCATTCCTGCCGCTGTGTCTTCCTGGGTAGATCCAATCCCAGTAAGACCAACAGATCCCTACAAAAAGGGTTAATAAACACTGAACTGGCACTTGAAAAAAAAAAATTTTTTTTTATTTTAGTACAGGGTCTACAGGGTCTGACTATGTAGATTGGACTTGTAGTGATACACCTGTGTTCAGTCTCCCAAGAACTGAGATTATTATAGGCGCACGCCACCATGCCGTCTTAAAATTATTTTTGCTGATGTGAATCATGACTCAATCTAAAAAACCTCACCAGATGCGGTGGCATGGGCCTGTAATCCCAGCACTCAGGAGGATCACAGCAAATTCAAGGCCAGCCTGGGCTATATAGTGAGACACTGTCTCAAAACAAAACTCATGTGAACATATGCACAAGAGTAACAACTATGACTACAACCATCAGAAATGTGCCCAATGGCCATGTGGGCTGAAAAAGCATGAGATGCCGGAAAATATGATCTATCAGTGCAGTGGAACTGAGTGAATTTTTCCTTTTTAAAAATATTAGAATTCTAGTAACAGTGTTAAAAGACTGAAAGTGAGAAGAAAAAAGCTTAAAATTAGATCAGAAGGGGCCGAAGAGATAGCTCAGTAGAATAAGTGCTTCCCTGGCAAGCGCAAGGGCCTGAGTTCAATCCCTGGTTCCGAAACAAACAAACAAAAAATTAGATCAGACACATGATAGGGGCACCACGCTGTGCTCAGGCTGGTTTCTGAAGGCCTGGGGCAGGGCATGAACACATGCCATGTGTACCTTCTGTGTTCACCACGATGATTCCTTGTACTCCTTTCTGGCTCTGAAGTCGTTTCAGTGTCTCTTCCACCTCAGCCTGCCAGAAAGTAACACCAAGATTAAGAGAGCCCAGATAGATTGGATTAGGTTCCCCATATCCCAGGTGGAGGAGTCACACACTCAACTTCTAATGAACCAGACACACTAAAGTTTCCCAGGCTGGAGCAGCCCGCTCCTTAGGCCACCCTGGATCCTAGAACAAGAGCTCACACTTAAGCGTGAGATGACTCAGTGCACCCGCTGCTCCAGGCACTATTATCTCACTCCCCAGCCCAAGTTATTTGGAAGCATATAAATACCATTCTCTGGAGTATCCACACACCCATGACTCATACTTTTGGTATAGTTGAGAGGCAGGATTTTGAGGACTGGAAAAAACACCAAACACTGGTTTCTAACAGGAAGGAGACACTGTAATTTATGGCCCAAACAATACAACTGAAAGCATTTAAAAGGAAACAAAATGACCCTATGAGGACAGACTCCATGACTTAAATCACCTGGCATTTGTGATGCTGTGACACATGGCACACAGCCACAGGAAATCAGCCCCAGAAGGGTCTTATTAGTCCTAATTAACCACAAAGCAGGGCAGGCTATTTTGGCACATGGAATCTGTAAAAAGAGAGTTCTCACTGTGCCATGCAATGCCTTCTACATTCTTACAACTACTTTATCCTTCCCTCCACTCTGTATCAGCTTGCCCTATGTCCCTGTCCCCATGTCTTTTTACCCCACTAGGCCCCTTTCTTTCCAATAAAATGTTCTAGAACAATCAAGGCTTTAGCTCTTCTTCACAGCCTTTATTGGTTCCCAATTCAACGGAGTCTTGCTTGCATCCGACCCCCAAATTCTTGCCTTTTTCTCTCTGGGACACAAACCAGGCACTATGAGTCTAGTTACAAAGTCTCTACAGTAATTTACAAAGAAAGAACTCCACAGAACAGTTGCTTAAAGTCAGGTGTAGTGGCACATACCTGTAATCCTAGCACTCTGGGAGGCTGAGGAAAAAGGACTGCAAGTTTGGGCCCCATCTGGGCAACTTTGTGAGTTAGCAAGACCTTGTTTCAAAGTAAAAAATAAAAATGGGAGCTGGGCATTGGTGGCACACACCTGTAATCCCAGCACTCAGGAAACTGAGGCAGGATCACTGCAAGTTTGAGACCAGTTTGGGCTACAAAGTGAGCTTAAGGCCAGCCTGAGCTGCATAACAAAACCCTGTCTCAAAAAGACAAATAAACAAATAAATAAATAAAAATGGGGATGTAGCTCAGTGTAAAGGCCTTGGGTTGAATCCCCAGTACTGCTAAAAAGAAAGAAACCAACAACAAAATAGCTGTTTAACTGAACCAGGCTTAACTTTTTTGTCCCTGGAAACTGGGCTTAAAAAGTTGCTTGTTCTGGTGGCCACTTCTAGACTGGCCAGAATACACTGAAAAGGTCCTCAAAGGCTGAGTTACTGGAGACAAAGGCTCCATTCGCCAAAAGAAAAATGGTTTCCCACTACCAGGGGATCAGGGGAGGTTGGGTGGATTCTGAACACTGGGTGGAAACAGCACAATGAATTATTGTTTTTCTGGAAAGCATAAAGCTGACAATCCAGTCACTACCACCCACTCCCTAGTGATGTAAGAACCCTCTCAAATGCTGGAGGAAGGACAAACAAGTTATTCCCACAAAATGGCAAGTAACATGATGCCCCTAAATCTGGAGTTTGAGTGAAAGGACAGAGCTGGCTCTGTGGAGAGTAGAACATAAGGGTCATATGTGTCTGAGGCCCTAAGTCATCCAACAGCCCTTCCCTGAGCTGTGATGGATGCTACTCTGGAGGGGAAGAGTAAGTATAAAGGTCAATACTGCACAGTACTCACCCTGACCTGGGCAGCCCACCAGTCTTGACTTCCTTCAAATTTTTATTTGTACAAAATTTTTATTTGTACAAATTTTATTGTCCTCCCCTCCCTTCAATCCTTCTCTTCCCCAGTCACAGCAGCTTTGTTTCCATTTCTGCCCTTTTTGTGAAATTCCTTTTTCCTTTCTTCTTTCCCCCTTTTCTCATTCTACTTCCCATTTGAACATGTTCTTCCTACTTCCCAGTATTTATCCTCCATTATGGTCCTTATTTACACTTATGGTTTCTCCTACAAGAGAAATAATGTGATATTTAAGCCTGTGTGTCTTATTTCACTTAAAATTATGGTCTCAAGTTGCACCCATTTACCTAGAAATAACTTAACTTCATCCTTCCTTATTGCAGAGTAGTACGCCAATGTAGATAAATAACACATTTCAAAAAAATATCTATTCATCTGGTTTTTTTAAAAATTTATTTATTTGTGTGTGTGTGTTTGTGTGTGGCCAGCTCAGCCCACCAGGGGAGTGGGGCTGGCTGGCATGTGGTGCTGGGGATTGAACCGTGGTCCCTTGTGCTTTGCTAAGCTTGTTCTAAGTAGGTGCTTTAGACCACTGAGCCATCATCTCACCAGCCCAAATATATATTTGCTCCTTGGCCTGGAATTCCTCAAGTCCTTATATTTCCTTGAGTGATGGAGCCAATAAGATCATCTTTTCTTTTTTTTTTGGCGGAACCGGGGATTGAACTCAGATTCTTGAGTTTGCCAGTCAAGTGCTTATCCTACTGAGCCATCTCCCCGGCCCCTCTATTCATCTGTTGATGGGCATGCTGGCTGTTTCCAAGATTCAGCTATAAGCATGAGTATTAAGATATTTTTAACTCTGGGGGCCTGGCCCTAGCTCAGGCCTTTAAGTGGCTGCTTCCACAAAGCTGTCAGCCTCAGGTTGCTGGAGTTCGAACCTCACACCTCTCCCTATGGCCAAAAGTGCCCTGAAGGCATTCGAGCAACAAAAAAAAAAAAAAAAAAAAAAAAAAAAAGATATTTTTAACTCTTTTGGGAAGATATCTAGAAGGAGCACAGTTGGGTCAGATGGAACCTATAGTTTTAGTTTGAGGAATCTTCACACTTGATTTCCACAGTGGTTGTACCAATTTATACTCCCACCAACAATGGAGAAGGGTTCCTTTTTCCCCAAAGCCTCACCAGGATTTGTATTGATCTATTTCCTGATAACAGCAACTCTTTCTGGAGAAGGAATCTCAGTGTTGTTTTAATCTGCATTTCTCAAATGACCAGGGATTCTTTCAAACATTTATTTGCTGTCTGTAACTGCTTCACCTGAGAAGTGTCTATTCATTTCCGATTTCCATTTTTGGATTGGGTATTTAAATGGGGCGAGGGTTGATTTACTTTAGTTCTTTTTTTTTGTGTGGAACCGGGGATTGAACTCAGGCCCTTGTGCTTGCCAGGCAAGTGCTCATTCTACTGCGCTATTTCCCCAGCCCCCTTCAGTTCTTTTTATATTCTAGATCTTAGGCTTTTGAAGAGTAGTTGGTAATTTTTTTTTTTTTTCTTATTCTGTGGGTTATCTCTTCACTTTGCTAGTAGCTTCTTTTAATGTAAAAGCCTTTTAATTTGATGTAATCTCAGTTGTTGATGCTTTGTAATATTTCCTGTATGACTGGGGTTTTGTTCATAGAGTCTTTGCCTATACTTACGTCTTTAAAGAGTTTTAGCTATTCTATCTTCCAGCAGATTTAGTGTTTCTGTTTTTGTAGATTTTTTTTAATTTTTTTATTTGTCTTTTTGATCTATTTTGATCTTAGTTTAGTCTATGGTGAGAGATATGGGTCTAGGTTTAATTTTAAGCATGTGGAAAGCCAGTGTTCCCAATAACATCTATTAAAGAGGCTATCTTTCTTCCAGTGAAGGTGTTTGACCCATTTGTCAAAGTTAAGGTAGCTGAGGATGCTAGAGTTGTTTCTGCATCTTCTATTCTGTCCCACTTACCATGCTACTTTTATTATAGTAGTTTTATAGTATAACTTCAAATCTCTCCTAGAAACTCATTTAAGGAAATAATCCAAAACAACAAAAATAATGCAGCAGCATGTTTACTGCAGTGAAACCTGCAGTAGCAAAAAGAAAAATGCTACCAAATTAGAGAAAAGGCAGAATAAATTATGGAACATCCACCACAGAAATACAATACACACATTAACAATGGTAACCGAACTATCAGATACTGCTATAAAAGGTCTGATATAATGGGTTTTTTGCTTGTTTTTAAAGTTGTGATCTAGGGCTGGTAAGATAGCTCAGTGGACTAAGTGCCTACTTGGGCAAGCCCAGGGACCAGGGTTTGATCCCTGGTACCACATGTTGCACCAGCCATGCCCCCAGGCAGGCTGAGCTGGGCAACCGAGTCCAAGTGTAGTGGCACATGCCTATAATCCCAGCATTGGGGAGACTGAAAACAGGAGGATCACTACAAGTCAGAGCTGCATAGCAAGACCTTGTACCAAATACATAAATAAAAAATTAAATAAAGTTATGGTCTAGCAATGTAGTTTACGCTGTTAACCTCGAACACAGTATGTGGCCCAAGGTAGCCTGGAACTTGTGGTGATCTTCCTGCCTCAGTCCCCAAGTGCTGGGATTACAGGCACGTGCAAGATGCCTGGCATGTGATATAACATTAAATGAAAACAAAAAATGCAAAAATGAAATGTTTAATAACTATAAGTACATAAAAATAAAGAGAACTATAGGAGGAAATTATAGGGGGAAAAGCCATTTTCAGGGAAGCACTTATTCCACTGAGCCATCTCCCCGTCCAAAAACCATTTTCAGAATCAGGAATTACACACAGGCTTTGTAGTACAATGTACCAATATGTAAGAATAACTTCAATGACAGTTTAGGACAGCTCAATCAATAATAATTAGGAAAAAGCCAGTGTGTGGTGGTACACTCTGGTAATCCTAGCACTCAGCAGCCTGAGGCAGGAGTTTGAAGCAGTGATCTGCTCCTGGCTACAGCAAACAATGTTCCCTTTATTTGCTGTGCTTAAGCCACACTGGCTCTTTTGCTTTTCCTTGGGCACACTGGATACTGTACCAGCCCAAGTTGTTTTATAGTCAGCCTTGGGTGTTTACCTGACATGATATATGGTGCCAGCAGGAGACTGTGAGATAAGGAGGGATGACATTTGATGCTGCTCAAAGCCAGCTATGGCTGCTGTGCGGAGCATGGACTGAGGGGGCACACAGCCTGCAGAGTCCTGGCTTCCAGCTGTGGTACCTGGCAGAAGCTGCTCCCTGTTTGAGGATAGGAACTTCTGTCTTGCTAACAAACATAACTCCTAGATTCAGCCTGTGGACACCCCCCCCCCCCTCCGCAGTGCCTCCCCCCCCCGTGGGAAGCCCTCTCCAGTTACCTTCAGCACCCAGCCTTCACATGACACTTATCATGGTAGAGTATAACTGTGTTTCATACCCATCTCTTGACCCAAATCACCCTGAAAGTAGAAACCCAGGTATCTTTACAGTTCCAGCAGTAGGCACAGGGCAGACGCTATACTTAAGGAAAACATAATAGCTGGGTGGGATTGCTCAGGCCTACAATCCCAGCACTTTGGGTGAAGCTGGAGGATCTCAAGCTGAAGTCCTGCCTGGACGATTTAGGAAGATCTCAAGGTAAAAAAAATAAAAAGGGGACAGGGTCATAGCTCTGTGCTAATGCCCTAGGTTCAATCCACACTACCAATAAATAATAGCATTTCTAAAACTGTTTCATAAAATCAACCCTTTTAAATACAGGAGGGAGGACATGTTCCAATGAAACGAAGAGCTAAAGTTTAGATGACCTTAGTCTAACAGAAGCAGCCAAAGAGATCTGGCTGTTTAAGAAGCAAGCGCGCGCGCGCGCACACACACACACACACACACACACACACACACAGAAGCAAGCACACACTAACAGGGAATAGGACACAGGGGTATGTATTTATGCTCTCAGGACTTCCTTTGAGTCACGCACTGCTTTCTGACATATGGTCCCATCTGAACCTCTTTCATGATTAGTGTAATTTTACAGATTAGGAAACTGAGGTTCAGAAAAGAGGATTTTGCCCAAGAACATACAGCAGGTCCAAAGGAGAGCAAAGGTGGGCAAGGTGGAACGCACCTATAGTCCCACCACCAAGGAGGCTGAGGTGGTAGGATCATTTGATTCCAGAGTCTAGGATGGCAGTGAGGGTGAATCTTTTAGAGCTTTCACTTTCTAGGAGTTGGATACCAGCTTGGGTAGACCCTGACTGAACAAGGGCAAAAGATGCCTGCCCTGAAAGAGGCTTATATCCTATTGGAAGAGACTTTTTAAAAAATTTCTTTTTGCAGGGTACAGCGATGATGCAGGGATTAAAAATAAAGGATGCTGTTTGAGTACTGGGGTCAGGAGTGTCTAAGGAAGTAATCTGTAAGCGAAGAAGTAAACGATGACAAAGAAATACATTTTTGTCAGTGGGGAAAGGTAAAAAATTTGTGAGCTCCCTAGTTCCAAAATGCATGTGGCCAAAAAACGACACAACAATGCAACTCCAGGATTATTTACTGGCTCAGCATAGGAGGGTAGCTATTTGGAGGAAATAACTCATGAAAGAAGTACAACTAATTTGTCTACTAAACAAAACCTTAACTTCTGCAAAGCAATAATGAACCAAACAGGACAGAAAAAATATCTGCTTCAAATATAACAAAGAAATAATTCCCAAAACATCACAGAGATTAAGACAGCAAATACCCAGTAGATAAAAAATACACCTATATTCTGACATTGCCGGTTAAACAGAGGACCCAATGCTATTATGGGCTACTGGACTCTTCTAGAATATTTTGCTGAGTTTACACACCTATAATATTCAATAACGGAACTTAGAAAAAATGGGGTATACCGATGAATGTCCATTTTGTATTTGTGTATTCCAAGTGGTTAGGATAGATATATAGTTGCATTCTCTTAATGAATAGAATGATTTGTTCTAATGGTGCTTATAAATAGCTTCACAAGTCCACTTCGTGTACAGCAATTAACCACTAAGAAGAATATATGCAGTGTATTATTTGTTGAAACTGTACTTCTGATTGGATTTGAAACTGTCTCATTGCTATCTGTTTATCAATAAAACTTTGAAAAAAAAACAAACAAAAATAAATAAAATTAAAAAAAATAAATAAAAAATACACCTATAATAAATGACATAGAAAAATGATCATTCCCCATAAGCAGAAGAATAAAAATATAGCAATACTGGCTTCTTTTAAAATGTTAGTATTGTGATGGCAAGACTTTTATAAAAGCAATCTGCTAGGAAAGCTACAAAATATGCTGTAAGAACTATAAAAGTGTTAACTCATTTTGCCCCCAAAATTCTTCTCAGAATTTATTCAGAGGCACAAATTCTGGTTTGAAAAATTATAGTATAACTCTTACTAAAAATGGTTTCTTATGCCAAGTGTGGTGGAGCACTCCTGTAATCCCAGCACTCAGGAGCTGAGGCAGGTGGATCACAAGTTCCAGGTCAGCCTGGGCTATACAGTGAGTTCAAGACAAGCCTAGACTACACAGCAAGACCCTGTCTCAATACTCCCACTTCATCCCCCATTAAAAAAAAAAAACCCTAAAAATTTCATCGTAAAACTGATATAGCAACAAGGGTAAATGTTTTTGGATATTAAAACAAAAGGAAAAGCTAGCATACATATATGAAAAAGATGGAAAGAGGAAAACTGTGGAATAAAACTAGGTGAAAATTACAGATGATTTTTGTATCACTATTTTAACAAGCAGTTTCTAGGATTTCTAAGAAGGTGTGTTACAAACGTGTCAACTCCTTACAATGAGTGCAACCATTATATGCAGCAAACATGTACTAATGAAAATAAAAATTTTCTAAAAATAATAATTTATTTATTTAAATTAAAAATTTATTTTTTATTTTTTATTTTTTTTATTTTTTTGGTGGAACTGGGAATTGAACTCAGGCCCTTGCGCTTGCCAGGGAAGTGCTTATTCCATTGAGCCATCTCCCGGCCCCCAAAAATTTCAAAACTGTATCTATCCTATATAACCACTAGCAAAAATGCAAAGACAAGAAAAGCACTGTATGAACTGTAAGCCATCTAAGCATTACTCATATGGCAGTGAGGCACTGTGTAGCTTTAAGATGAAGATGTGGACACTGGCACACTGGCATGGAAAAATGCTGCAGGGAGGGGGTGTTAAATCCAAGGGCTTCCCAAGGCAGGGGGGTCTGCGAGGGGGTGGAACATCCCTTTAATCCCAGCACTCTGGGAGGTTAAGACACTTAGAATTTGAAACCAGCCTGGGGGCTACAAAAGCGAGCACAAGGCCAGCCCAAGGCCAGCCTGAACTGCATAGCAAGACCCTGTCTAAAACACACACACACACACAAAAGAAATCCAAGGTCTTTCTGTAATTTTTTTTTTAATACCAGGAATCAAACTCTGGATTTTGCACTTGTCAGGAGATATTTTTAAGTGAATAGGGCAAGCTGCAGAATTATATATATATATATATATATATCTTAAAAGTAAATTTAACATGCATAAATATACATGTTCTAGTTTCATGTAGTAAACAGTTTAATGATATTTAAATACATGCATAAACCAAACAAATCTGGAAGGAAACCCATCCAACTGCCAATAGTTGTTGCCATGTGGCAGAAAGAAGGAGATAATACACATTTTCTGTATTATATACTGTGTGCTGCTTGAATCCACGAAAGTGTGTTTATGTTCTGCTTTGGGCTGGAGATGTAGCTCTGTAGAGCATGTCCCTAGCATATGGAAACCTGGGTTCAATCTACAAAACTACACACCCATGCATGTAACATATCTCACATACACACAATATTGCTTTTATGAGACTCTCCAACAGAACATTACAGGTTGTACAAAGCTTCCATTTATATAACGGAAATCAGGAGGACTTACATATGCTTGTGTACATACACATTTAATTAAAAATGGTTGTTTCTCAAGGACACTGGAGCTAGACATCAGGGTGGCTGAAAGACTTTTCGCTCAGATACACACAGGTGGATAGATATACAGATACAAATGTGCCCAAGTATCCCGTTAAAAGTTGTAGCCAACATGACGTGAAAGATAGTTATGTGTATCGAAATCATTATTATATTTTTAATGATGTGGAGCTAATTTTCTGTGGTGTAATAATGAAAAACACAGAACAATCCTATACTCAATAGGAGTGAAACTGTATGAAACAACTGAAGCTAAAATGACATGAGCAATAAATGGCAGCATTTAAATGATGTCATTCTTTTTCTTTCACAATTTTTCCTATAAGCTGTACATTTCTAAAGAAAATTTTACGAAGTTAACATAGTCACATATTTAACATTAAATAAGGTCCAGTACAATCGTGGTTAATAAGTCTTGGCCAGTTTTGTACAAGCGACCCGCCGCTCCTGACTCAACCCGGACAGACACGGCGGTCGAACATCTCGAGCTTAAGCGCACCGTCCCCATTTGCTGGGGTACGGCTTGACTTCACAAACCTTTAGATTCCAAAGCTAGGAGCTGTAAAGCTGGTAATCATCACATTTACCTCACAGATCTGTGAGAAGGAGGAGACACACAGTGTGGTGTCTGCCACCTACTGAGCTTCCGGGAAACACTTCCTTTAAGGTGGTCTCGAACCCACACCCTGGAGCCAGGCTGCAGGGACCCAGCGCCAGCCGCCCCAGCCCCACTTCCGGCCGAGAGGCGCCCGCTTCCGGCAGGCCCGGCTCGCCCAGGTCTAGAGGGCCGCACCGCCTGGGGTACGCCCTCGGGTCGGCTGGCGCCCACCTCTGGCCCTTCTCGCTTCGCAAGCGCCTCTCCTCGTAGCTTAGAGTCCCCCGCGAAGGTCAGGCCGCCAGTGTGAGGAGGCGGGCAGCCGCCAGCCACAAGCTCCCGGGGAACACTCACCATCTCCGCCGATCCAGCAGCTCCGCGTCGCCAACTCGCAGCTCGGTCCCGCACCTTCTGCGCCTGCGCAGAGGCCTCCGCCAGCCGAACCGCTTCGGCAGCCTATCAGCAGCCAGCGGCGGAAGCGGGGCGGGTGGGAGAACCGATCCGTCAGCTCGCTAGGGATCGCGAAGCCTGTGCTCTCTGCTATCCAGAGGTGAAAAGCAGAGGAACATTTAAAATTATAGAAAACTACTAACTCTGCTGTGCAAAGGAAAAAAAAATGCTGGCTCTAGAGTGCCGGAAGAAGCGTCTTTCAACACTTAATCGAGGTCTGAGCTGCGGTTAGAACTTGGTATATGTGCTGCCGAAGCGAGCACATGCGGTTAGAACTTGGGGGTCCGTTATCGCTACAGTCTGTCAAGCAGCCCCTTTGGGAATATTTCATATAAATTAGGAGATAAATTAGAGGTAGACTGGGTGACTATAGTTTAGGAATTTGAATGCCTACCTACCGTGTAACTTTTTTTTTTTTCCCGGAACTGGGAATTGAACTCAGACCCTTGCACTTGCCAGGGAAGTGCTTATTTCACTGAGCCATCTCCCCGACCTGTAACTTAAAAGGAGCGATTTTACATCTCTGTGCTGTATCATTTTTCTCACCTTTAAAAGGGGATCGTGAGCTGGGGAGATAGCTCAGTGGTCCAAGACGATCCCTGGTACAGCATTCCGTGTTGGCCTTGGAACCCAAACCGGACAGCGCATGCCTAAAATCCCAGCTGAGGCTGGGAGGCTGAGACAGGAGGATCACTACGCGTCTGAGCTGCATAGTGAGACCTTATACCAAATACATTTTTAAAAATGGGGTTAGGGGAGGGAGGGAATCGTTCTGGGCATGGTGGAGCATGCCTGTAATCACAACACTTGGAAGGCTGAGGCAGGAGGATTGCCATGAGTTCCAGGCTTGCTTGGGCTACCAAGTGAGTCCAGGAAGGCCTGAACTACACAGGGAGATCCTGTTCTACAAACAAAAGTAAAAGGGTTTCTTAGAAATCTGTGTTGTGCCCTTTTCCACCATAATCTCTTGCTCCTAACAACCACAAAAATTCCTGGGCCTTGTAACAGGAAATACATGCTTGCCATTTAGTGAGTCTTTGTGCCATGTTACTGTGCCCAACACTGGGCATGCACTGTCTCTAGTAGTTCAGCATAGTATCAACATCCCCACTTCACAAGTGTTATGTCTGCCAGGCACTGGAGCTTGCTTCTGATTTAAGGCTGTGAGCAACTCCAGATTTTCATCCATGGTAGCCTCACTTCAGTAACAAAGAATTTAGTGCTCTTTCCAGGTTTTGTCTACATATTAAAAGGACTGGATAGTGACAAGAAGCCTAGCAGAGTTGCTAGGCATGGTGACGCACATCTATAATCCCAGCACTTAGAAAACTAAGGCAGGAGAATCAATGTGAGTTCAAGGCTAGCCTGAACTGCATAATGAGATCCTGTTTAAAGAAAAGAAAAGAAACCTAGCAGATACTATCTTAAACAGACCAAGGTTAATGTTACTGGTAATGAGAAATGGTGATGCCATGTGCCCCCTGATGAGTATATAGGGCATATCACCTGATAATTTTCAGAAAAATCTACAGCCCTCATCATAAGAAAACTAAACACAGTCTAAGGGATACACTCAAGGCATCTGATCAGTACAGTACTCTTCCAAAATCTCAAGGTCATGAGGACAATGCACTCTCCACATCAGAGGGGTCTAAGGAAAAACACTGGTGGAAAAACTCAAACTCTGGGGGCTGGTGAGATGGCTCAGTGGTCTAAAGCACCTACTGAGAACAAGCTTAGCAAAGCACAAGGACCGCGGTTCAATCCCCCAGCACCACATGCCAGCCAACCCCGCCCCCTGGTGGGCTGAGCTGGCCACACACACACACACACACACACACACACACACACACACGTAAGGGCTGACGTTTTGTGTTTACTATTTATTAGGGTTTTATTATTATGCCACTGAGCTATATCGCCAGCTTTCTGTTTTTATAAGTGCTACCCTCTGCCATATGCCTCTCTGATTTAGAGCCAGCTGATTATGGACTGAAACCTCTACAAACTGTAAGCTAAATAAATCTTTCCTGGAGGGTTAACAACCTAAGTTTGCAGACCAAAATTAGAGAAAAAGGAGGGCTGCAAGGAAAGCCAACATTTTGGCCCTAGCCTTCCAAGGTCAATTAAGACTCAGGACATATGAGAACTTGTACTGTAACGCCACGTAACTCAGTAGCGTCCCAAATTTGCTGATCAAGGAGATTATGGGGCTAAAGAGGAAAGTGATCAATGATGTAGAGTGTGCTTAAGGAGAGTCACATGGAGAGAAAACATTCTCTCAGGCTTTCACAGAGAGCACATTGGCCAAGCAATGGCCGTGACCCATTCACATGGCTGACACTGACAAAGGTTCTACAATCTGAGGTACAGGATCTCAGGATAAATCCTGAGTGGATTTCACTGACCTTATCAGATCCAAAAGCTACAAGTCTTATTGCATAGGTCTTGCTTTATCTTGGTCTTAACCATCCAGTAGAAAAGTATAAAAACAAAGTATAAGAAGTAAAGCCATGAGTCTAGGCACGGTGGCGCACGCCTGTAATCCCAGCACTTGGGAGGCAGAAATCAGGAGGATCACTACTAATGTGGGCTATGTAGTGAGACCCTGAGCAAAAAAAGAAAATTAAAAAAAAAAAGAAGTAAAGTCATAGTGTTATGTTGAGCTGTAGGGTACTCAGGTCAACAATTTCTGACATTGCCAGTGAAGCGGAAGACCCAATACTATTATGGACTACTGGATTCTTTTAGAATATTTTGCTGAGTTAACACACCTATAATATTCCAATAACGGAACTAAACAAAAAAGGGGATACAGATGAATGTCCATTTTGTATCTGTATTCAAAATGGTTAGGATATATAGTTACATTCTTTTAATGAATAGAGGGATTTGTTCTAATAGAGTTTGTAAATAGGATATCATGTCCATATCTTGTACAGCAAATAACCACTGGGAAGAATGTATGCAATGTGTTAATTATTGAAACTGTCCTACCAATTTGGTTTGAAACTGTCTCATCGCTATTTCTCAATAAAATTATGGGAAAAAATTTAAAAAATAAATCTTTCCTTCGTTAATTTTGGGTGTCAGGTATTTTGTCCCAGCAAGGAGAGAAAGGTAACTGAGACATGGATAAAGGATGGAAACTGCTCTAAGAGAAGGAATTTAAAATTTTGGAGACACATTTATAGGCTTTGCTTTGGGATGGAATAAATATAGGTGTGGTGTTTGTTATTATCTAAGTGAAGTAAAATAGATCAGGGACATTGAGGCAGAGGCAGGACTGCCTTGAGGTCGAGACCAGCCAGGGTACATAGTAAATTGAAGTCTGAACTACAGTTAAATCCTGCTTCAAAACACAGAAACAGAAGAAATAATGGCATGGCTGCAAATTCCCAAAGGCCTCCCCTGTAAGGTGCTTTGAGGAAATCCTCTTGCCCTTAGCTATTTGCTTAACAGAAACCCACTTACAAAGGACCAACACCATGGGGCCTATCTTGAAAACCCTCTTCTCCTTGCCAACTAAGAAGGTTCCCTTGGGTCTTCCCCCCTCCTCCGAATGTCTTAATCACAAAAGATGCAAGAACAGCTGAAGTACACTAGTACGCTGGGAGTGGCAGCAGCCCCTGCTTTAGTTATATGAAGTGACACATATTTCTTAATAGTCCAGAGGATAATAGCCAGTCAGCAACAGGGTCCCAGTTTGATGTTTTGTAGGAACTTGAGCTAATGGTCAGTACAAACAGCTATGTATTTCACATGTAAAGTTTGTTCATGCTGGGAGTAGAGGCCCTAGGTACTGGCAGGACATCACTCTCTTGTTCTTAGCCAAACTGAAGCCAGAACTTTCTAGCTGGTTCCACGGGCCAGATGAAAAAGGACTATTTGAGAGACCCAGTCCTAGCCCAGGCAAAACCATATGGCGTCGTTGAAAGGAAGCCCCGAATATTCCCAGGTGATACAATTTTGGAGACTGGAGAAGTAATTCCACCAATGAAAGAAGTTCCTGATCAACATCATTGAAGATTACTTAAAAATGTCAAAGGCTTTAAGCTTATATTTTTTTCCTGTATTAACTGAGTATGTTTCCTGGAAACGTAATAAAGCTTACTCTCAGAAAAAAAAAAAAAAAAGAAAAAAAGAAAAAGGACTATTTGAATAGGGGAGCAATCCAGTTTCTACTGGATGAGCACAGAAAAAAACATTTCCTATGCCTTTCGTCATGGTTTCATTTTAGAGGAAAGCAACATCATTTGGTTTTCTAATAAGGTGGCCTACAAAGCTAGCGAGCAAATCACCTTGTATAGCAGTCTTGAGAGTTAGCTGGTAGACCTGACTCAGCACTCATAGTCACAGTCTTCCTATCTTAGAACATTTGTCTCAGAAAAGCAATTCATATGGAAATCCTCATATTTATCAATGGCACCTGCAAATGTCTTCTTCAATACATGCACAAAATTCAGTCTCCCTGGAGCTGCAGAACTGCTAGTTTTTTCAATGCACTTCACAGTATAGACAGGCTATAATTTGCCACTTACAAAGCAGAGGCAAAAGTCTATACATAGCCCGGTAACACAGAAGGCATTCCTGTTGGTGAGGAACATCTTTTTACTTAAGACTAACAGAAAAGTGTGCAAACGAAGGAACAAAAATGTTTTAATAATAAACACAATCTTACTTACATCCTTTAAGGACATTCAAAATGAGGCATTTCCCTGAAGAAACTGTATAAAAGCATTTGACTCCCTATAACATTTGTAGTTACCTGAGTTTTTGAAATTACAGTCTAACAAAAGTATTCCAATACAGTAATATACAATCCAGTGCTGCCATTCTGTTTTTAGTTAATAAAGTACACATACAAACAATTTTATCATAACTCTGAAAGAAAAACAGAAAAAAAGGAGGGGGCTGGAGATACCAACAATACTAAATAGAAGTAGTTAATTCTATGAGAAGAATGAAGTTACATTTAAAACATGGGGAGAGAGAAAAATAAGAGTCAAAGTCTAATACTATGAGACATTCCTGATAACATTTCAAATAAGAAGTGGCAGAAAGGGCTTGCATGAAATAGGATAAGACCTTGGGGGGGGGGCAGCTGAATCAGGTTTTACTAAAATTTCTGATGAACTGACATTGGTATGTCAATCTCTCAATGAAAAATCAGTACTGATTTTTGAATAGAGTTATTGTAAGTCTTATGAAATTGGATTCTTCTGCAATTGATACAGATCATAAAAGACAGAGCAAGAATTCATTGTTGTGAGGTGCTGGATCAGTTTTAAACCACTTGGTGTGATGAAACAAGTGAGATCTCTTCTTCCTGACCCAGCTGTGGAATGTTGCCTTCCCCAACACCGAAAGAGCAGAAGAATAAGGCAATTGCTCGTTTTAATTTGTTTTTATTTCAACATACCATGCAGTAAAAAAAAAAAAAAAAAAAAAAAAAAAATCAACAAGATTTATTAGCATTTACAATGCTTACAAAGAAAAAGGACCTTAAAAGCAATTTAGTTCAGATTTAAGAAAAAGCTCTAATTAAACACTTACAATAAATCTATTTCCAAATGTTCAGTTTAGAGCAAAATTTAAGATAGCATTTGTAGATATTTATGTCTGTTGTCTATCTGCAGTTACTTTTTATATAACCTCTGATTCTTGGGATATCCAGCCCCCATTTTTCTACCACAGCAGGGAAGACATATACATGTGACCACTTAAATTAAAGGAAGAAATGGAGTAGGGAGATCCTGGGCTGCAAAAATATATACAAGCATTTACCTCTTCCAGAACTAAACATTTCTTTCATAAAAATATTAAATAGCCAAGCCCTATAGAACTAGGGCCAGGACTTCAAATATAACTATTCTGTATTTTAAAAATATAGGGCAGAGAGCCTTTTGGGTAATATTTGTACATTTTCACACAATATTTCTAGGTCCCTAAATGAATCATGAAGCATTATGTAGAACCAAAAAGCCTACTTTCTTACATTATCTCTTAATTTAATCTTATAAATCTCTAGCAAATATTACAGGTAACTACATTTCATTATGAGAATTTGCCTCAATAGGATGTATTTATAGAAGGCATAATCTTCACAGCCATATATTATCAAAGTTCAGACTTACATAATGAATGGGTAGTTGGCAAACATTCGCTCTGTAAGACAAAGCAATAGCATTTTTTTTACCCTACCAACAAAAAGGCAGAGAATCCCTACTTTGGAAACTAGGGCTTTTAGAGATCATACTATATTTCCTAGGGTATGTGGAATAAAAAACAGTTGGGAAAATCTTAATCTCCCCCTTTACACTGATAATTTTTGGATGAGACAATCCTTTTACTCACATAAATCTCTGCTTTATGACGGCAGTGTCAAAGAGTACAGATATACAAGTTAGAAAATGCTGTCATAGGACTTTAAATAGGATGAGCAGATGGTGATGTAAAAACATTTTCTTTCCATATGGAACAGGGGCCTGCTACTTGCTGTATATTCTTGGCCTAATGCTACTTGTTCATGCTATGCTCCTGAAATATGCCAAGGTCCCTGTTACGTGAGTTATAAGGCTGTCCTCAGGGTCTGGCTATGATAGGGATTCAGCTGGCATAGGCTTCCTCTCACTATCCATTAAGTCATATCTATGATAGCAGCCATCCTGACAATCTATACTAGGCCAGGTTAAATAAATTAACTACAAAGAAGGCCAAAGTGCATTAATTAGTAAGGGAGCAGTCTTAACAAACAAAATCCCTATTCATCGGGAAATAAAGGAAACCTGCTAAAAGTTTTAGGGTGAAAAGAATAATGCAGATAAGGAATATCAAAATTCAAGACAATGTAAAGAATAGAAATGACTACTCCAACATGTGTCAGAGATTTTAATTCATACCCAGAATACATTTCTGTGGTTACTAGATATTATCTTCCCTTCATTTTAGTCAGCACTACAGCTCTCATTCCCAAATGTGATTTCAAAGGCTGTTTCACTGACTTCTATTTGAACTAGGAAATATTCTAGTTACAACTCAAATTAATTTCTTAGCAATAATTAAATACAACTGAAGTTGTTAGACTGTGACACAATTATAAAGTTTCAATTTATGTATAGGATCATACAAATCATCAATACCCTTAAAATGAATTCAGATGAATTAACTCCAATTACCTTTTTAAAACATTGGATAACAACAGTGTTAATAGTTTATACTATCTGTGAGGCAATTAAATTTCCAAATGAGGAGAGGTATGAAGTCATTTGCCAGCTGGAACCTACTTTTCCCTGAATTCAAAGACAAAACTGCTTTGTAGAGATGTAAGCCTTGCATAATTTCCGGGAATAACATCAAAATGATGTACAGATTCATGCTCCAGGAAGGAAAACAACAGTCAGGCCAGACTGAAATGAGAGGGAGAGCACAAGCCAGAAGTCTGCTCATGTGCCCAGAAGCTTGGCTAAGCTTGCACTTTTATTAAATACCTCTTTACAAGAGGCTTAAAGGGAAGATCTTGTATATTGCAGTCACTGAGAGACCTCCCTGTATATTTGCAGAATCTCTGAAAGAAGAAAGCCTACTTCCAGGTGAGACTTTTGACACACATACAAAATTGTTAAGGAAACAATCTAGTGGAATAAGACAATGCAGATTTCACTGCAGTGTTAAACCTCATATTAAGTAAGTTCAGACTAGTTGTTTGTAGATCTGATTCTGTAAATGTTGAGTAGAAATCCAGAATCACTGGGAGATAAATTTCTTGATAACAATTTACTAACTTAGGTAACTTTCTAAACTGTCACAGTCCAATTTTATAAGATGTGCAACAGGCAGAGAAAGAAAAGGATAAACACTGCAAATAAGTTCTTATCCATTGGTGGTACAAAGTCTTAGAAGTTATTCTTGTCCAAATCCTTCTGTTTCTTCAATGGCAAATAACAGCTTTTCCTTCAGTTGCTCATAACTCTTGTAGGGTGGAAGGTCCAGGCGATTGAAACTAGAAGAAAGAATTGCTGGATTGAGAAATGGAAACATACGAAGAAACAAACTGTACAGCGACAGCAACACTGGCTTCAAAGTTAGGGAAAACTATGGCTAGGGAGATCAACAGTCTAAAGCACTTGCCTAGGCAAGCTTAGGCAGGCTCAGGGGACTGCGGTTTGATTCCTGGCCCCAGCACCACAGGTCACACCAGCCCTGCCCTCAGGGTGGGCTGAGCAGGCCTAAATAAATAAAGTCCATTTAAAAAAAAAAGCAGTATGTCTTTTTTTTAAAATGTATTTGGCACAGGGTCTCGCTATGCAGCTTAGATTTGTAGTAATCCTCCTGTTTTCACCTCCCCAGTGCTAGCTTTACAAGTGTGCACCACCATGCCCAGACTCATTCACTAGCTCAGCATCCCCTGGGGGGCGGGGCAAGCATGGCATGCGTGACCAGGGATGGAACCCTGGTCCCTTTATGCTTGCCAAAGCAGGTGCTTAGTCTGCTGAGCTAACTTGCTGGCCCAGCAATATGTCTTTTACTGTAATACTTTTTTTTTTTTTTTTTTTTTTTGGTCTTTTTTTGGGTACTGGGGATTAAACTCAGAGCCTTGTGCTTACCAGGCAGGTGCTTCTGCCACTGGGCTATTTCTCCAGCCCCTTTGTTGTTTTTTTTTTTGAGACAGAGTCTCACTATGCAGTTCAGGTTGGTCTTGAGCTCACTTTGTAGCCCAGGATTGGGTCTACCATTATACAATTTATGGCTTTTCCTCAAAGTCAAAATGACTATGAAAAGTAAACATTCTCAATGGTCAACACATTGTGGCAGACTCCAGAGCAAATATCATGAAAGAGAACTACTGAGCTGGAGATATATAATATATAGCTCATGGTAGTGTGCTTGCCTAGGATGAATGAGGTCTTCAATTTAATTCCCAGTATCATTAAAAAAAGATTCCTAGATGCTTCACAGAGTTGCAAGATTGATGAGATTAATCTTTTGGGTATGGAGGGGGCTGAGGGAGATTAATGGAAACAATTGTATCGCCATATTAACACTCATTATAATAATTTTTAAAAATTTAAACATTCACCATAAGGCCAGTGAGATAGTGGACTAAGTACCTGCTTAGGCAAGCACAGGGACAGGAGTTTGATTCCCTGGATGTGCTGAGCTGGTACCACGTCTGGGTATGGTGATGCACACCTGTAATCCCAGCACTGGGGAAGCTGAAAACAGGGAGGATCACTATGAGTTAGGACTGCATAGTGAGACCCTGTACCAAATACATGAACATTCACCATAGTTTCTGATCTTATCTCATATTTCTAACTACTAAACTGAACACTTTAAGAGGATGAACTCAATGGTATTTGAATTATGCATACATATAGTAAGTGTATTAAAACAAAAGAACAGACAATAAAACAGCATAATGGTTAGAGAAAATAAATATTTAATAAGATCAATATGTAGTATTATTTGTTGAAACTGTACTTTCAATTTGATTTGAAACTGTCTCATTGCTATATGTTTATCAATAAAACTTTGAAAAGAAAAAAAAAAGAACAAAACAGCAAAAAAAAAAAAAGATCAATATGTGACTACTTGACCTTATCAGATACAAAAGTTACATTTCTTGTTATATAGGTCTTGCTATATCTTGGTCTTAACCATCCAGCAGAAAAGTATAAAAATGAGGTATATGAAGTAAATCCATAGTAATACGATGAGCTGTAAAAGGCTAAAGTCAATAACTTCTGAGGATAACCCACTGCTAGACAGTGTTAGATTGTTTAGTTGAATTCAAACACCTATAGTATTTAGATGCCAATAGAATATTCACCTCTGACCAAAAAAAAAAAAAAAAAAAAAAAAAAAAAAAAAAAAAGGATACAAAGGAAAGATCATTTTGTATGTGTACATACAAAATAGTTAGAATAAATTTACAGCTACCTTTGCTTAAGTCAATGAGAAGAAAGAGGTTTACTAACAGTGTTTGGACAGAATATCCCGTCTGCTTCTTGTATTATGGATAACCACTAAAAAGATAACAATGTATAGTGTATTGACTATCAAAACTGTCCTATTAATCAGCTTTGAAACTGTCTCATTCATATTTATTTCTCAATAAAAATAAAAATAAAGGAAAAAAAGATCAATATGTGACTACTAGACATATGTATCACAAAATAAAAAAATTGTTGATGTTAGGTAGAATTCCAACATACTGTATCTGAAGATTAGTGGACTTTTACTTTGGTACATTTTTGGAAATATGCTTGATCTACATTAAAAATGAGAAAACATTTCTGGTTACCATGTTAGAAAGCAGGTACTCCATATTCTACCATAAAGAAGAATACACTCAAGTCGTTTCTAGGAAAATGGATGTACCTTGAGTCCATACTTTTAGGTGAAACAAGCCAGACACATATATAAATACCACACTGTTTCTCTGGTATGAGAAACTAATGAGTGTAAATAAGGACTGAAATGTATAATAGGTATTATGAAAGAGGAAGAAAATGTTCCAATGGGGAGGGGAACAATAAAAAGGGGAGGGAGAAAGGAAATAAAAGTTTAAAAAGGTAGAGAAAAGCAGGAAAACATGGAAACAAAGGGTTGAAGTGAAGGTACAAGAATAGGCAAAAAAAGTGATATCACGTTCAAGTAAAAATTCTCTTTGATGATAGGCTGGGGAGAAAGCTCAGCAGCACAAGCACCTGCCTGGCAAGTGCAAAGTCCTGAGTTCAGACCCCAATACAAAAAACAAAACAAAACAAAACCTCTATTGTGAAAGTGATCATTATATATAACTACAATGTACCAATATAACCTGATTTTTTTTTAAAAAGGAATTACACACACCAAAAAATAAAAAGAAAAAAATAAAGCAGGTACTCCAAATTTCTTTTCCTGTATTCTGACAAAATATAGTTTATAAATCCCACATTTAAAAAATATAAGGGGTTCCCAGCACTGAGGAGACTGAGGTGGAACACTATGAGTCCAAGCTGTGTTTTTCTGTACCAAACACACACACACACACACACACACACACACACACACACACAGATATTAATTACAAATGGTCATCATTTTGGAGTGAAGGAAATACTCTAAAACTGGACTATGGTGATGCTTCCACTATTCTGTAGAATTTAAGTATCAGCTGGGTGTAGTGGCAAAAATAAAAGAAAAGTGGGGAAGAGGACTCTGTGCAAAGGCCTCGAGTTCAATCCTAATATCACACCACACACACACACTCCTAATTATATCTCAATAAAGCTATTATACACATTCAGTAACACGGAGGAAAAGTTTTTCATCACACATCTGAAATCACTGCAGGTTAACTGGAACAAGGGCTATTTTCTCTAATCTTTCTGATTTTGCTTACCAGGTATGACTTCTAGGTAACCAATTTTCCTTTCCAACTTTTTCAATGCAGAATTTCTGTGGTCCATTGCTCCCTAAAACATAACAAAACCATAAAGTTTTTTGGTTGAAAAGTTCTCAACTTGTGTTCTCCATTGTAGCATCAGCAGGTTGGAACCACAAATCCACAGAACCCACCCCACAGCTACTACTCAATCAGAAACCCTAGGAGTGGGACTCTACAGTTATGTGTTTTAGCATGCTTCCAATGACTCTGAGGAGTGCTAAAGTCTGAGGAAGAATTTTGTTAATGTATACCCAAGAGAAAATGTACTTTTGTCATCCCTTAGGGAGAATATCACAAATTCATAAAAATGCTTACTTTTCTTTTCACACCAGGGATCAAAATTGGGACCCTGCACTTGCCAGGCAGGTGATTATGTCACTGAGCTATATCCCTGGCACTATTACTAGCTTTAACTACACTAGAGAAACTATGATCTACTATCTTAAGTAAGTAAACTTGATTAAAATAGTTGCTAACATTTTATGAAATGTAAGTATCATAATGAAATCAATATTGTGCTTATAGATTCTGTACACATGCATATTTATATATCCATATATAAATACATCGATTCTTTCCTCTTTTTCTCTGAGAGACAGCAGTGAGTGATAACTGTAAAGTACTAATTTTAATAAAAGATTACTTCTTTGAAAGAATTTATGGGTGATAATAACAACTGGCAGTGCTACTGGACTTTTTATTTAGAAGTGGGCAGGCACAAACCAAGCATGGTGGCAGACACTTCTAATTTCAGCTATTTGGGAAGATGAGGCAGGAGGATTCCAACCTTGATTGAGGTCAGCCTAGGAAGCTTAGCGAGACCATATCTCTAAATAAAAGTGACTAGGACTGTAGCTCAGTAGTAGAACCCTTGCCTAGCATGTGCAAAGCTCTACATTTAAGCTCTACCACTACCAAAACAAAATGTAGCAAGATATACTAAATCTTCTGTTTCACCTGACCAAATCCAGGTCAAATATAAATTGGTAGCACTACTTTGTATTTAGTAACAATGAATTATTTTCACATGTAGTTAATTAAAAAGTCTAATAACATAAGGAAATAGGACATTTTGAAAAAATGCTTAAAGGGCCAGGGAGATAGCTCAGTAGAATAAGTGCTTGCCTGCCAAGCGCAAGGTCCTGAGTTCAATCCCCGGTACCACCAAAAAAAAAAAAAAAAAAAAAAAAAAAAAGCTTAAAGCATTTCTGCAATGTTACACACATATATATATATTAAAATTTAAAAAAATTAAGTCATTCTGCATGCTTTCTTTACTCAATATATAACATTTCAACTACACAAATGAAAAGACATTTAAAAGTGCTAACATGTGATGGAGAAGAGAGCTTGAGGGTTAGCTCAGTTGTTTAAGTGCCTGCTCTGGCAAACCCAGTCAGGCGCAGGGGACTGCAGTTTGATCCCAACTTGCCTTTAAGGCAGCCTGAGCCAGCACCTCTCCCCCACCAAAAAAAAATCTACTGTAATGGAGAAGATTCTGAATCACTTTTGATATAGAATCAAACATTAAAATAGGTATGGTAATGCGCTGCTATAATCCCAGATACTCAGGAGGCTAAGGCAAGAGGATCACAAGTTCAAGGCCAGCCTGGTCAAATTAGTGAGAACATGTCTTAAATACAGCATGACAAAAAACAACAACAAAAAATGCTAAGGATATAACTCAGTGGTTCTGGCTTTGGGCCCCAGTACTGCAAATAGATATGTCAGGGCCTCATATATGCTAGGCCAATCTCTAAGCATGATGCTACATTTTAAATAAGATCCATAGGCTAGCCTCAAACACTGACACTCAGTTAGTTACCTCTCCAACATTTTTGAGACAGGGTCTTACTAAATTGCTTAGGCTGGCCTTGAATTTACAATTTAAGACTCTCAAGTAGTTGAAATTACAAGTCTGTGCCATCATTCCTGGCTAGGTTATTTCCTTATCATACATTCTTCAAATCTATCATTTCTTATCTTTTTTAATCTGATATTTCATTTCGCAGTTTTTCTTATATGAAACAGCTTTTAGCTTCCTTTTAAGCCCAAATCTTGTAGAGAGAAACACGTAACTTATGCTTTCTAACACAGTTGTTCTCTAACATTCCCTTTTACATTGTTTAATGTTACATATATACTGGAGCTGATAAACAGGTTATTTAATGATTTAATTTTAAAATATCAATTATAGATACTTTTTATTTATTTTTATTTTTTTATAGATTTTTATTATTTTGTTAAACATTTATTTATTGTGTGTGTGTGTGTGTGTGTGTGTGTGTGTGTGTGTGTGGCCAGCTCAGCCCACCAGGGGGTGCGGCTGGCTGGCATGTGGTGCTGGAGGATCGAACCGCGGTCCCTGTGCTTTGCCAAGCTTGTTCCAAGTAGGTGCTTTAGACCACTGAGCCATCTCTCCAGCCCCTATAGATACTTTTTAAATTAAAAAAATTTTTCTTATTTTTTGTATTCAGTACAGGGTCTCACTACGTAGATAAGACTTATAGTGATTCTGCTGTGCTCAGCCTCCAAAGTGTTGGGATTACAGGTGCATCACTACGCCCAGTCTCAATCGCCCTCTCAGCACAGTGCACCCCGTGGGCAGGGCTGGCACGACACACCAGGGATCGAACTCCAAACCTTGCACTCTGTCTAAGCAGGCACTTTAGTCTGCCGAGCTATCCGGCTGGCCCATAAATACTTGTTAATAACAGTGCAACACTGGATCTGATAAGGTCACCTCCTCCTGCACTGGGCTGAAATTTATATTCAGTGGCCTCTAAAATCCTACCATTTCTCTTTTCTTTCTTTCTTATTTATTTAATTTTTTGGTGGAACCAGGGATTGAACTCAGGCCCTTGCACTTGCCAGGGAAGTACTTATTCCACTGAGCCCTCTCTCCCCAGGCCCTAACCATTTCTCTTTTCCAGGGGCATCCTTCTGTGTTTGTTTTGTGTATTTAGTGCAGGGTCCACAGGGTCTACAGAGTCTCACTACACAGATCGGACTTGCAGTGATTCTCCTGTTTTCAGCTTCCCAAGCACTGGGATTACATGTGGCGCCACCACACCCAGTCTCAATCCCCACCTCAGCGTGCCCTGGGAGAGGGGCCAGCACAGCATGCTGGGGATTGAAGCTCTGTTGCTGTGTTCTGCCTAAGCAGGCGATTTAGTCTGCTGAGCTACCGGGGTGGCCCTTCTGTGTTGTTGTTGGTGCTGTTTTTTAATTTTATTATTTTATTATTTTTTTAAATTTTTATTTATTTATTTGTGTGTGTGTGTGTGTGTGTGTGTGTGTGTGTCTGTGTGTGTGTGTCCAGCTCAGCCCACCAGGGGGCGGGGCTGGCTTACATGTGGTGCTGGGGGATTGAACCGTGGTCCCTGTGCTTTGCTAAGCTTGTTCTAAGTAGGTGCTTTAGATCACTGAGCCATCTCACCAGCCCCTGTGTTGTTTCTGACAACCTGACCTAACTCAAAATTTATTAGAGCAGACCTAGTTCTTTTTAATGATCAGGCTTTCAGTTTATACTAAAAAGCTTCCACCAACTTTTTTTGTCTTCTCCTTATCCCTCCACCCCCAATGCTCAGTATGGTTTTTCTCCTTTCAAACTATAATGTATTCTCAAAAGTCCTCTGCCTCCAACTTCCTTAGAAATCACCCTGAATCTGTAGCTCTGAATAAAAAACTGCTTTCTATTCTGCTTCAGAGACTATACTACACATATCTCTTTAATTCTCTACTCTTTTCTTCCAAAAGTAGACCTTCAGGATATTTTCTTGCGAAGTGGGGGACGGCATTGTACTGGGGACTGAACTCAGGGCAAATATTATGACACGATCCTGCTAAATTTGCCCAGACTGGGCTTGACCTCTTGCTTCAGCCTCCCAGAGTGCTAGACTATATGACAGTGCCATTGGGCGCAACATACTCTTCCTCTTTTATTTCCATTTCACCTGCTAAGATCAGGTTCTCATAACACAATAATTACTTCCTAAGTATACTCACCCTCCCCCCGCACCTTTTATTTTTTGAGATAGGGTCTCAATATGTAGTTTAGGCTGGCCTTGAACTCACTCATACTGTCCAGGCTGACCTCAAACTCACAGAGATCCTCCTGCCTCTGGCTCTGTACTGGGATTACAAGCATGCATCTTGGGGCCAGGCAGATAGCTCAGAGGCATAAACACCTACCTCACAAGCACAAAAAGCCGAGTTTGATCCCCGAACCTGCATGCCATGCAGTCTCGGCCCTGGATTCCCAGGTACCCACAGTGTAGCCCTGGAACTGGGCATGGTGGTGTACACCTGTAATCCCAGCACTCAGGAGGTTGAGACAAGAGGATCTCTGAGTTCGAGACCAGCCTGGGGACTACAAAAGTGAGCACAAAGCCAGTCCAAACTGCACAGCGAGACCATCTCAAAAACAAAATGTGCATCTTAGATTTTTTTTCACCTTAGATTTTAACATATGAGATATATTTTACCGTGCCATCAAATCTTTCTAAAATGCAGCTTCAGCAAGTTAGTTTTCCTCTCTTCAAAAAGAACTCAATATCCTTAGGGTAATAACCAAATTATCTGGTCTACTTTTAAAATTGTTATTAAAGGGCCAGGGATGTTGAAACTGTACTTTCGATTTGATTTGAAACTGTCTCATTGCTATATGTTTATCAATAAAACTTTGAAAAGAAAAAAAAAATAAAAAAATAAAGGGCCAGGGAGATGGCTCAGTGGAACAAGTGCTTCCCTGGCAAGCGCAAGGACCTGAGTTCAATCCCCGGTTGCACAAAAAGAAAAAAAAAATTGTTATTAAAGGGCCGGCCAAATAGCTCAGCGGGTTAAAACACCTGTTTAGGTAGATGCATGAGCCAGGTTTGATTCTAGGTGTACCCTGCTGGCCCCACTCCTGGGGCATGCTGAGACTGCAATTGAGACTGGGCCTGGTGGCACACACCTATAATCTCAGCTCTTTGGGAGGCTGAAAACAGGAGGATAACTATGAGTCTGATCTTCATAGTGAGACCCTGTAGACCCTTACTAAAAAAATTAAAAAGATAAAGTTGTTATTAAACTGGCTCCATATTCTGTACCCAAAATCACCTGCTTACTTTTCTAATCATGAATCTACTTCAGTTAAAACAGTTTTTGAGATCACTGCTTCTCCTCCTATGGTACAAAGCATAAAGTTTTGTCTTGTATTTTAATTTTTTCTTTCTTTCTTTTTTTTTTTTTTTAGACTGGGTCTTGCTTCCTAGGCTCATGCTGCCCTTGAACTCAAATCCTCCTGCCTCCAGAGTGCTGAGATTACCTTATAGACTACCATACCCAATAATGCTTGCCTCAAAAACTAAAATGTTTGCAAAATGGCTGAACAAAAAGATTTATACACAAAAAGAAGTCTGTTATCTTATTAAGTTAAAGCTATGCCGACTAAAAATTTCTACAGAAGTGAAGAATACAGAGTGATTTAAAAGTTTACAAAAATCCAGGATAGCTGCCTAGCTGAGAAAATGGCTAGACTTTATTATTTCTGCTAAGCTGTATATACATTCATCTCACAGCAATGTGATAAATAATTTCTATACAGGAAAAGCACTCTGTATACATACCCATGAGGTCTGCAAATCCTCCTACTGGCAATCTGCAGGTTCCAGTAACAAATTGCAGAAGTCTCATTCTCTTCTCGTTATCAATTTCTTTAACAAACTGTTAAAATCACATTAAAAGAGATATGCAGGTCATATGTTACACTCAGGTTACTAAACAAGAGAGAAAAGTTATTTCAAATTTAAATGAACCTCTGGTGTCACCTGAGCTATCTAGTACTTTTATTCAACCCTGTCCAAAGGAGGAAAATATTCATGTTTTGCCAAGTTCCTACCAACCCTTCCCTTACAAAAATTTTAGGATGGTATCTTTAAAGGGAAGGGTTCCCTAGACATAAGAAATCCTTACTCAGGCAGTTTTTGAAGATCTGTTCTTCTACTTGAACCTGGCTGTCCTATAGAACATTCATGTGGTTATACAGTTAAGAGTCTGCACAGGCTTTTGGGTTTTATGAAAAAATGAGATCAAACTCACAAAATTCTCTTTCAGATATAACCAATAGGCTTGGAAATGTATCAGTGGCACAGCACCTGCCTGGCAAGCACAAGGTCCTCAGTTTGATTCCCAGTGGCAAAAACTACATGTAAAGCAAAATTATGTAGCTTTTACCTCCTAAATTTTTTTTTTTTTTTTTTTTTTTTGCGGAACCAGGGATTGATTGAACTCAGGCCCTTGCACTTGCCAGGGAAGTGCTTATTCTACTGAGCCATCTCCCCAGCCCCAGCTTTTACCTCCTAAACTTGGCTCAAAGTAATAGATTTCTGAAGGAAAAAAAAAAAAAAAATCAAACCTAGCTGAAAAAAAAAAATTTTTTTTTGTAGGAAATATCTTTTGTTTGACAACTTATTTATTTATTTATTTATTTAAACTAGAAAATTGAATTCAAGACCTTGCACTTGCCAGGCAGGTGCTGTGCCACTGAGTTGTATCTCTGGCGCTTAAATTTATTTTACTGTGTTAAACTATCTGTTGCAGCTCAGTTCACTTCTTGCATTTCTCATATGAATTTCTTTATATTGGACTTTTAAAATATTATAGTAAAATATACCTAACATAAAATTTACCAATGATTTTAAGTGCCTAATTCTTTGGCATTAAATGCATACTATCAGGGCCAATGAGATAGCTCAGCAGACTAAACACCTGCTTAGGCAAGAGCAGGGACCAGGGTTCAATCCGCAATACCATATGCTGTGCCGGTCATGCCCTTGGGCACAAGGAGACCAAGACCATGGTGGTGCACACCTGTAATCCCAGTGCTGGTGAGGCTGAAAACAGCAGGATCATTATGAGTTGGAGCTATGTAGTGAGATCCTGCTGTAGTGAGACCAAATACATAAAAAAGAGCATACTGCCATATAACTATCATTTCTATGTCCAGAACTACAATATCATCCTAAATAACAACTATGCATATAATAAACATAACTCCCCATACATACTTAAGTCCCCTGGAAAGCTATATCTTATTTTCTAGTTTTATTAATTTGTACATTCAAGGAACCCCACATACATGGACAAATACTGCCTTTTGTGGCTTTTTAAAATAGGGTCTATCTTTACAGTGCAGGTGGCACTGAACTCATGTAGCTAAGGCTAGCTTCAAACACAGTGATCCTCCTGCCTCACCCTCCTCGAGTGCTGTGATTACAGGCATGCACCACATGCCTGGCTAAAATTTAGAGTATCTTAAGATTCAGTCATGCTGCATCATGTATCAAAAACTTCATTCCTTCTTAGGGCTGAATAGCATATTATTGTATACCACACTGTGTTTATTCATCTAATGATGGGCATATGGGTTAATTTTGCCACCTGGTGATCTATTTTGTTTTTTGGGGGGTTTTTTGAGACAGGATCTCACAGTACAGTTCAGGCTGCCCCTAAACTCATTCCATAGCCCAGGCTGGCCTTGAATTTATAGCAATCTACCTGCCTTCCCACCTCCAGCACGCCCCCCCCCCCCCCCAGCATTACAGACATGTGCCGCCATGCCTGGTAAACTCTTGGCTATCCTGAGTAATACTGTTCTGCAAAGTGGTACGAAGCAGTATCTACGGATGGGGTCTCTGGTGTTGGTTCTCTATTGGAACAGCTAGATTATATGTTGTAATTAACTTCCAGAGGCACTGATGAATCATTTCCTGTAGTGGTTATTTTTAAAATTTTTTTGTTTTTTCATACTGGCTCTTGCTATGTAGTTTAGGCTGGCCTTGAGCTCACTATGTAGCTTAAACTGGCCTTGAATTCCTCCCACCTCAGCATCCCCAGTGCTGGGATTATAGGTGTTCACCACTGTGCACAGTTATAGTGGTTATTATACTCTCACTGATTTTAATTTCTCCACATTCTCACCAAAGACTATGCCTTTCCCCTCATTTTTTTAAATAGTAATGACTATAAAGTGGTATCTCACTATGGTTTTGATTTATCCTTAGTGACTAATGATTTTCATCATTTGTTCAGAGATATCATTATGATTCTAAACCAGGTTCTTGAAATTTGTCACCTAAATACTATATAGTTCTAAACGAAGCATGATTGTTAAAAACCTGACAGTTGTATAAAATTCAAAGAGCAAATATGGTCAAAGCTGCAAGATATGTGTTCCTTACTTAGTCGTAAAAGGATGCTGTTAAATTCTATATTCATTTATTACACTGAACAGAATAGACTGAACAGACATACTGCTGCCTTTGTTTTGTAGTAAATTCTAAAAACTTATGTTGTATCTACCAATAGAAATAAACTTAGAAACAAACCTGCCAAAACCATATGATTTGTTTGCTTGTTCTAGTGTAATGACGGTAGATGGCATGTCTTTGCCAGTCATTCAAATCAATCTCTTGCATGCCACATAAAAGGACCTTTAGAGATGGAAAAAAAAATAATTTTTAGATAACCATATAAAAAATGCTTGACAGAAAAGACTAACATTAAACATAGCTTTAAAGTTATTAATCATTAGCCTGCAGGTTTTTAAAAAAATCTATTTAGTATAGGGTCTATTTAATACACCACTCAGACTCACAGTGGTCCTCCTGTTTTTAGCCTCCTCAACACTGGGATTACAGACGTGCAGCACCATACCTGGTCCCAGTGGCTGGCTCAGCACACTTGGGGGTGGGACTGGCATAGCGTGTGGTACAGGGGATCGAACCCTGGTCCGGTCCCTGTGCTTGCCTAAGCAGGCACTTAGTACACTGAGCTATCTTGCCAGCCCTGCCCTCAGCTTTGAACTGTACATCAAGAATTGTATTTTCATTAGGGTGGGTTTCCACATACTGTGTCACACACAGAGGAAACAGGTTATTCAACTGTAAGTAAGTCTTATTCTCTATGTGATTGGTTCAGGCTGGCTCTGAACTCATGAACTATGTAGTTGGCTCCTTGAATTTGTGGGGATCCTCTAGCCTCAGTCTCCCTGTGGAAGACTGAGGAATTAGTTTGGAATTACAGGCATGTGCCTCTATGTCTGGCTAGGTAGCTAAGTCTTAATAGCAGTACTTTAAGGTAGTATTCTGTCTATCTGTCTGCCTTTCTCTTTCAGTTTTGGGATAATTTATAGTTTTCTTTAACCATTAGTGATGTTTTAAAACACCTTACCAGAATAAACTCAGTTTCTCTAGCTAAGAAAAAAAAAAAAATCTTACCAGCATAAAAACTACTCTCCCTGTTCCTTATTATGCCTAAGATGTTTGAAATGCAGTGAGACAGTGAGGTTAAGCTTGGTAGCCTAAATCATTTGATAATAACAATAAGCTTGTCTTCTGGATGGTTAACAACCTAAGTTTTGCAGACCAAAATTAGAGAAAAAGGAGGGCTACAAGGAAAGCCAACATTTTGGCCCTAGCCTTCTAAGGTCAATTAAGACTCAGGACATATGAGAACTTGTACTGTAATGTCATGTGCCTCGGTAGTGTCCCAGATTTTCTGATCAAGAAGATTATGGGGCCAAACAAGAAAGTGACCAATGACGTAGAGTGGGCCTAAGGAGAGTCACATGGAGAGAAGACACTCTCTCAGGATTTCACAGAAAGCACATTGGCCAAGCAATGGCCGTGACTCATCCACATGGCTGCACTGACAAAGGTTCTACAATCTGAGGTACAGGATCTCAGGATAAATCCTGAGGGCATTTCACTGACCTTCTCAGACCAAAAAGCTACAACTCTTGTTGCACAGGTCCTGCTTTACCTTGGTCTTAACCATCCAGTAGAAAAGTATGAAGACGAAATATAGGAAGTAAAGCCATGTTGTTATGTTGAGCTGTGGGGGACTCAGGTCAGTAATTTCTGACATTGCCAGTTAAACAGAAGACCCAATGCTATTATGGGCTACTGGACTCTTTTAGAATATTTTGCTGAGTTTACACACCCATAATATTCAATAACGGAACTTAGAAAAAATGTCCATTTTGTATCTGTGTATTCAAAGTGGTTAGGATAGATATATAGTTGCATTCTCTTAATGAATAGAATGATTTGTTCTAATGGTGTTTGTAAATAGGATCTCAAGTCCGCATCTTGTACAGCAATTAACCACTAAGAAGAATATATGCAGTGTATTATTTGTTGAAACTGTACTTCCGATTTGATTTGAAACTGTCCCATTGCTGTTTATCAATAAAATTTTGAAAAAAAAAAAACCTACTCTCACTGGAAAAATGACAAAGGAGATACCTGCAGACTTTTAGTAGAATGCTTTAGGGGGGAAATGAAAAGCTTATTACCTCTAATTCCTTTGCATCAAAGTATTGCAAATACTGCTGTGGAAGAATTTCATTAAAACCTTCAAAGAAAGCTTGTGTCTGTTCTTCAACACCTCGAGACAACCTCCACTCAGCTACCATTCTGGCAAGTAAATATGAAAAAGAAAATCAGAATACTTAAATTTTATCTTTAAATTTTGAATATAAAATTTTAAAATTTTAAGCTTTATTATGAAAAACCTGAAACTACAAAAGTAGACTATAATAAACCCCTATGTATACAATGTCCTAGCTTCATCACAATACCAACCTTATGCCCAATTCATAACCAAAATATAATTTCATTTTTAAAAATTACTTTAGGTTGCCAGTAGCTTGTTACCTTCTACCTTCTATAAACAGTTTCTCCTCTGCAATGCCATTCTGCTATACTGCCCTACCTTGGAGCCAGCCAATTATGGACTGAAACCTCTACACACTAGTACTGCTCCATATAGAACATACAATCTCAAGCAGTACAGACTTCAACAGCATTACCACAAGGGGACAGTAGTCAACTGTAGTATTATGGGGGAAATCTGTTTATGCTACATTGAAAATGTCTAAATGGTATTCAATACAAGTACAGAGTGTCATCGTTAGCTGATGCTCTTAGAAACTCAAGCATACTCAAGAGCTAGCAGTCAAGAATTCTGAGGGAATGGCCAGCCAGATAGCTCAGCAGATTAAAGAGCCTGCTTAGGCAGAGGCAGGGACTGGGGTTCCATCCTGGCATGCTGTGCCAGCCCTGCCCCTGGGGTGCCTATAATCCCACCGCTTGGGAGGCTGAAGAGAGGAAGATCACTAGAGTCTTATCTGTGCAGTGAGACCCTGTAGACCTGTACTAAATACATAAAAAAAAAATTCAGGGGGTGGGGGAGGAAGAAAAAGGAGTTTACACCTAGAAGTTCCAGGATCTGAACAACTTTTATTAACTATAAATAAAGAATGGTTCAGAAAAACACATTAAGCCAGTCATGTTGGTGCATACCTGCAATCCCAGCCCTCAGAAGGCTGAGGAAGGACTGCCATAAATTAGAGGCCAGCCTGGGGTACACAGTGAGTTCAAGGCCAGTCTAAACTACATAGTGAGACCATGTCTCAAAAAACAAAACAAAAACAAAAAACAACGAGAAAGAAAAACTGACTGTGGTTTTTGGCTAAGATAACACCTGATTTTCACATTGTAATTGGGAACATAACACTAGGACTCCCAGAACGGTGTAAAGCAGGGCTACCATTTTATTCTTGGATCTGTCTGATGCAGCTTATCCAAATTCATGTGCTTCCCCCTACAGTTTGTGGCTGGGCTCAATGGAGGCTGCCTTAGAAAGAACAGATATATACAGATGCCAGTTTTGTATGTAGCAGCTCACTGACGGTCCAAAGTCTGTCACATGCACTTGCTTAAGAAATTTTTTGAGCCTTGGTGATGACAGTCTACAAGGAATTAATATCAATGTGGAGTCAGTTTACCATACTAATACTGAACAAGAACAACAAATGGAAGAACAACCTGAAATTCATCAAAATGATTTCAATATTGAAGACAATAACTTAATCAGGGGGCTGGTGAGATGGCTCCGTGGTCTAAAGCACCTATTTAGAACAAGCTTAGCAAAGCACAGGGACCGTGGTTCAATCCCCCAGCACCACATG